TTAATCGAAACTGTCCTAAGATCGGTCCTATAAGATATTCTTAGGACAGAAATTATGATAAAGTTATGACCGACTTACGACATGTCACAGCATGCACATCGAAGCTATCTAAGGATCATCTTAGCTAGGATGTCTTAACCGCTGTCCTAAGTATTGGGGTAAAAGAAAATAGCAAATGAAAAAATTTAAATATTGTATCAAAATTAACTAACAACTATAATTTAAAAACCGATTATTTATTAGAAAATAATTATTAGTTTCAAATTAAAGTTAATAAATAATTTTGATATTACAACTGTACATTTAAACTCTATAAAACATAACATAAGTAAAAAAAAATATAACTACGTTTTATATTAGAATTGAACAAACTAATTGTAAATAGTTGAAATTAAATAATTTATATAATCGGTAAAATCATTATATGCTTTGAGGGAGCTGAATTCGAAGTGTCACGGTTTCATACTTATAAGTTCGAAGGCAAATCTCGTGCATCTTTTATATAAATACTAAGTACTTCAACTATTTTATTTTATTACTGTAAATAACATACGTGTGAATATGAGCAATAGAAGAAATTCGAATTTTACCGGTGCAAAACTACAGGGCCCAGTTTCATCCTAAATATAAAGAGAAAATGTGGTATGATTGACAATGAGACAACTCTCCACAAGACACCGGAAATAAAATCACTTATAAAATATGTTATTTATATTAAAACACATCAAATAATAATTTAAAAATATGAAAACTTGATAGAAATTTGTGTAAAAATCATTTTGTTATCACAAGTTGTGGAACTGTTTACAAAGAAAATTTAAAAACGGTGTAAGCAGATAATCAGTTCAAACCAGCTCGACTAGTGAAGTGTAAAAATTTTCAAATAAATATTATAATTATTTTATAGATTCTTCACCCTTTTTTAATTGGATACAATCACTTTTTAAAAATCTTTTTTAATATTTTGCAATACCACAAAAACATGAAAAAGTATGAGTTTATTCTGTTTTTTAACTGCTAAAATTACTAAATAAACTTACTAAATTTGAAGATCTGTCAAATGAATGTATATTTACACGTGTAATATTAGAAATATAATTAAGAAAACACTTTATATAAAAAATAAACCACCAAATATGCATAAATTCCAATATTCACTTATTGCCTAAAATTATGTTCGGCTATAGGATGAATAATCATCATCAGATTTCAGGAAATAAGCTTAATGCCTGAAAAGTTCAGGCAATAACTTAATGCCTAGGCGTTAGCTTATTGCCTAGGATTTAAGCTTAATGCCTAATTTCACTTATTGCCGCTAACATATACATAAATAATATTAATATTTGATTATTTAAAATAATGCATCTTAAATGACCATCCCAAGCTTAACTGCTAAAACAATAGAATAGTGTCGGGTCCTATCATGCAATATGGGATGCGTGGTTGCATGGGTGTTTTATTATAACTAAATGTTAATTCAGGAATTATTGCGTGCAATTATTATTGCGATTGTTGAAGAATTGACTGAAATGCGATTTTAATTATTGCGATTTCAGGAAAATATGCATACATTTATATGTAACAGATATCACAATGGGAGTTCTTATTACTTCGACACTCTCCCAGTGGTATTATTCGCATTAATTAAAACCTCACAATAATTTCTGGATGTACAGTAAATTATTTAATTTGAAAACAAGTTCATTGGTACAGGACGAAAACCAGCAAAAATTATATTACTTGTTAAATAAGATCAGATAAGTACTAATTGCTATTGTTAAAGAAAAAAAAAGATAAGAGATTTCATATGAGGTGAAATTATTTGTTTATTGAATAAAGTGGTATGCATGTGAAAGCCTTTACTTCTTGAGCTCATTATGAGTATTAATGATTAAATACACAATGTTTATTTAAAAAATGTCATAAAAAATATAGTTTTTCATTCATTTTGAAATAGTTTATCACAGTGATATCGAAAGCATTGTACATGTCACAATGCCTAAGTGAAATTTAGCTGACAATCCTTATCACAGTACATGTATACAGTCCTTTATTTCCTTGGGGTTTACATGATCTATAATGAATGTAGACAACTATCATCCTTTTGAATTTCATATGTTATTGTTCTACTGTGTTCCTTAGTTTTTCTTTAACATGTAACATGCCAGGAATAATCTTATATACATGTAATATATTGTTTATTACAATATATATCAGTAAGCAGTCCTCTCAAATGTGTTGTTAAAATTATAATTCTGTCTCATTTCATAAAATTGTCTCAATAACTGACAGATGATGGCATATGATGTAATCTTTTCCATTTATGTGTTGATCTTACAAGAAATAAGTGCATATTCCTTTCCTCTAATTTAATAACTTTTACTTGCTTGTTCTCAATGTTCCAGAGTCAGTTTCAACATGAAATTCTTACATTTGTTGTCATAGTGAAAATTTCTTCATTCCAAAGTTTTTCTTTCAATTCACATGTGACATGACATGGATTATTTCATATCAAGTTATTGTTTTGTTATATTTGTCCTCACACTTTTATCTTGAAAACATTCTCTGTTCACTCATAGATCTACAATTATCTCAATAATTACTGAAAGTTTTCAAACTTAATTCAATCACCAAATTGTAAATAAAAGGAAGATTTATGTACTATAAAAAAAGATCAAACTTATTCGTTCAATGTATGTTTACTTGTTTTTGTTTATATGTCTTTTTGATCGAGTTAAGCCATTTTAATTGATATTTCATGGTGTTTCTTTTTATGTTGTAATGTTACACTACTGTTTCATGTTAGAGAGAAGGTTTGCGTCTGTTTAAACGTTTAAACGTTGGCACAACTTTTTCGAATTTTGGGTCCTCGATGCTCTTCCACTTTGTACTTGTTTGGCTTTATAACTGTTTTGATCTGAGCGTCACTGATGAGTCTTATGTAGACGAAACGCCGTTCTGGCGTATTAAATTATAAGCCTAGTACCTTTGATAACTGTTTAAACCTGTTACATTTGTATGCACCTGTCCTAAATCAGGAGCCTGTTGTTCAGTGGTTGTCGTGTATTGGTGTGATTCATAAGTGTTTCTCGTTTCTCGTTTTTTATATAGATAAGACCGTTGGTTTTCCTGTTTGAATTGTTTTACACTAGTCATTTTGGGGCCCTTTGCAGCTTGCTCTTTGGTGTGATCCAAGGCTCCGGGTTGAATGCCGTACTTTGACCTATAATTGTTAAATTTTTACACATTGTGACTTAGATGGATAGTTGTCTCATTTGCACTCTTACCTCATCTTCTTATTTATATATATTGTTTTAAAAGCTTGATGCTTGTCACATTGTGAAAAGATCTACACAAAGAAACATAGACTTCAATATATTTTGATAGTTAATCAATATGACAAATGAACATTAACTCATAGACTATAATGATAAAAGTAGTTAAAAATGAATATATAGACCAATTTGAATGTGCAAAAAAAGGGATGAATTAAAATAATTGTCGAACAAGCCATGTATGATTATATTTTTAATTATTTTCTTTTTTTTGTGTGTTTGTACTATGTTATCCAATGTAATAAACACGTATGGAAATAATTGGTAATTTGAAAGCAGAGCAACTTGGAGATTCATACTCAAAATATGCTTAAAAAGTATAATATTAAAAATACCGAACTCCAAAATAAAATTCAAAACGGAATGTCCCTTATCAAACAGAAAATCAAAAGCTCAATCACATCAAATGAATGGAAAACAACTGTCATATTCCTGACAGGCATTTCTTCATGTAGATAATTGTGAATTAAACCTGGTTTAATAGCTAGGTAAACCTCTTACATGAATGACAGTCGCAGAAAAATCAATTATATGATAGATCTTAATAGGTCAATATAATAGGTCTTCATAAATCTTAATAAGTCAAGTGTTTGCCTTCTACACAAATATAAGAGGCGAATTGGAGTAGGTGGGGGTGTGATTCTCAGACTTTTAACAACTTCCACTCCTTATTGATGGGCCTCCTATTCACATTTATTGATTCTTGCATCTGTGCAAAGTAGGTGAGTCTTTACAATGTCGACATAAACTTAGTCAATGGGTAATCAAGATATGATTCTTGCATACATTATTCTAAGGAAACTTCTTTGTATTGACTGCCGTCGTCATGTTGACAGCGAAACATGAAACAAATGTGTACCGATCACACAGATACCTAGTTCCCTTTTTAAGAAAACATTTGGAGACTTCTACATTCATACTCAATCGAAATTTAATCATTAATGACATGAATATCGACGAACCTCGGCATTAAAATGGTGAAGTCTTTTAAAACAAACTTACCTGAAAATATATAAATCATCCTTTTATTGACGTGTTTTTGTTGGTGGACACTAGCTTTTATCATAACAAGGAGCCCAATCAGCTGTTAATGACAAGCTTCAACTTGAAGTCGACAAAACATTCAAGGCCAATCACTAGTCGCATAGTTTAGAATATGACGTAATATTTAGATTTCGATGCAATCATTCAAAATCAGTGCCCATTTTTTTAAATGCATTAACCTGCCTCCGTGAATCAAGACTCAAGGCGCCTAACATTTGTAACAAACCTACCAGAGCAATAATGTGTATATCATCATCCATATCTCAATTTCTACTGTACAACATAAATTGCATAGCTAACAATTAACATTTTTATGCCGAATTCATAGTATTAATTTACGAACAATTCTTTTTTAATTGTATTATTCAGTGAAAAACTTAGACAATGCATGCATATGTTACCATTATAAAAAAGCTAGCCCAAATAAAACATGTAATTGAGTGAAACCCAACCACTTAATTACTTGATACATAGGTTAATCATGAAAACTTTTTCCTCAATTATTTCAGGACAATAAATCAGTACCTTTGATTATATTTATACTGGTCTGAATGATTTGTCTAGCATTGAAAAAAACCCCGAATAATGCATATATTAAGTTTTATTATATTTGTATTAAAGGATATCATGACATCTATAGTGCAGGAACGGGAGAATTTTCTCAGATTGGCCATTTTAGTCATCGACCATTCTAAAGCTGCATTAATATCCCTTATTGAGTTGGATATACTAAACAAGCATTTAACGTTTGAACAATTTTTGAACCAAAATCAACATGAAATTTATCATCTATGCTACAACAATAGAAGGTGCTGTAGATGTTCACCAGGAAGCTCCCTATCACGAATACATAGAATTATATTTCCGTCACAGATGCAAGTTTTGTTCGATACCGCAGCCAATATGCATGGACATAGGCGAGGACCAGAATACTGCTGTAGTTTTGCAAAGAAAGGAATTGGTACTGATGTCCTTGACCTGATCCTAGCAAGATGTCTTCTTGTTTATTGCTGTACCGATGTCTTCTGGTACAGTTGTTTGCAATTTAAAGGAACCTCGTTTGAAGATTTTCTTAACCAAAACAAACATATGATATATCATTGTCGGCAATATAACCAAGGCTGCTGCCATTGCCAAAATCATTGTAAACTTCAAGCCAATCGTCAGATAGTAAATGCACACCAATGGAATGCTATGTTTATTTCCTCTTCAGGGCTACAAATGTGTCGGAAAAGGTCACATAGTAGTGCAACAAACTGCATCTGTTTTATATCTGCAATAACGGGTATCACCGAAGGAAACCTTGATATTGTTCTGCAACAAACAATACTTGAGTACTGTTGTTCAACTCGAAAATCGGTGGAAACTCTGGTGAAAATCAGAAACAACGTCTATGGTAACACAAATTCAACACGGATTAGTGATTCAGACTATACAAGAATCAAGAATGACATCGAATCGGCAATATTGGATATAGCAATTGTTTGTGGAAATGAACCAATGTCCAAAACGGCTTTAAATGATGTGTACTGTAGAAATTTTGATCACTCACAGTTTGTTCAATATCAAAACAGTTTATCAGAAACAAATAGAGATACAAAAAGTGTAAGTATATCTTTGGAAACGAAAAAAGTAATTGATTCTAGCAGCATTTCATGGTTTGAAATGATTAGAGAAATTTACATGTTTTGTTGTTTTATTTAGACTAAGGATCTAAAATGAGTTTTGCATTATTATGTAAGAACTGTTTTTTAATAAGTTGTCATTTTATTCATGCACCTTTGTGTTTGCCTCTCTAAAGTTTTGTATAAAGCACACGGATATGGAAAATCTTTATATTGACATTTCTACCTTAATCTACTCGTAACAAATTGGACTGTGTACAAGATTCGGCTGGTGCAGTTGTTGGTACCTGTGTTCATTTAGCATAAGGCTGATAGTACTATTGATTAAACTTCATACTATAATGTCAGGGATCCTACAATACCGGCTGAACTCGTTTTTATTGAATTCATAATAATGCAAGTGTGTTGATCCTTTTTAATCAATAAATGCGAATGTTTAATACGAAGATATATTTCTGACCGAATGAATCTGTATTATTATTTTATTCTATAAGCATTGAATGATTAGTTTTATATATTTTACAATTACTTTTCTTAAAGGTAAGAGAACTGTTAGCCTATATACAATCAAGTCCGATGACATTGGATCAAGTAATGAAGACATTGCAAACAATCAAAGAAGGTCAAAATGCGGATAAACCTATAGATGCAAAACTGCAGAAACTTGAAGACAAAACAGAAACAATTAGTTCTATTATAGAATCAGGTAAAATGGCACAGCTTAGCTTATAAATAATGACCCTTAGGGTGACTAGGGAATAGAAATATAGCCAATACACGTCTTCTTCCGACCGGCAGTTAAACCCTTGCCAAAATGGGGCGTCCGTTTGGCTGTGTGGGATGTACAAGTACGCAGCTATGCCCGGTCACAATGGGGAAACTAAATCCGATGCTACGTGTAGAGAGTCTCAGAGTACAAAGCTCTCTGCACGTTTAGAACACTTTTGTCAACTCTTTGAAGGCTGGTCTGTTACATGGCAAATTTGTGTCTCTATCCAGTATACCCTTATTGTTCAGTGGCAGACTAAATTTTCCCGACCTTCAACGCGGACGGCCTCTATTACATGACCTAACTATTGTATTTTTTGTTAATTTGTTCTCGTCCTGAAAATGCCTGAAATATTTTCCACTGGACGTTAAGCAATCAACTATCAATCAATCAATAATAAATAATGCATGATTTAAAAAAAACAGTCGTGACGACATTCAAGGATTCAAAAAAGTAAAAATAAATATAATGTTGTAAATGTTTTGATTAAATGACAGAGATGTTGGAAGTAAAACGAATGTGTTTATTCGAGACTATATACGGTCATTTTTACAAAGTTATCAGTTAATTGATATTTGTAGTTTATGATTTTACCCTTATAAAATAACACAAGAAAATAAATATATATTGCAGGTTTCTATATTATAACAACTTTTCTTGTGATAACAAATAATTAAAAGCTATCGAAACGACTTAATTCCATCACAAGATGTATTTTGACATACAAAGTGATTGAAGGTATAACGTGTACTCTTGGAAACCTAGCTGTCTTTTTCCAAGATTTCTTAGGTAAATGTTAGTTGTAATCCATCTATAAAAAAAGTACAGAAACTAAAAAAAAACATTTTTGGAAAGTTTGCTTCACAAAATATCTCTTGATAATAAAAACGCTTCTGCCAAAGTTTTATAAAATTCTATGAAGGTTTGATAAAGTAATTGATTTGTAAAAAACCTTAACCCCAGACTGTATCTTTTTATACGACCGCAAAAAAATTTTGAGGTCGTATATTGGTATGACGTTGGCGTCGTCGTCGTCGTCGTCGTCGTCGTCGTCGTCCGGCGTCGTCGTCCGAATACACAATGGTTTTCGCACTCTAACTTTAGTTTAAGTGAATGGATCTCTATGAAATTTTACCATAAGGTTCAATACCACAATAGGAAGGTGGGGATTGATTTTGGGGGTTATGGTACCAACAGTTAAGGAATTAGGGGCCAAAAAGGGGCCGAAAATAAGCATTTTTGTAACTTCCAGACATAACTTGTGTGTTAGCATATGGATCTCTTTGACATTGTACCACAAGATTCCATATCACAAAGGGTCAATGCTGGGATTGATTTTGGGGTTAATTGCCTCAAAATTTTAGGAATAAGGGGCCAAAAGGGGGCAAAAAACAAGCATTTTTCTAGTTTCATGACAATAACTTGTGTGTAAGTGTATGGATCTTTCTGAAATTTTACTACAAGGTTCCATTTCACAAAGGGAAAGCTGGAATTGAGTGTTGTGGTAATTGCCCAAAACGTTTAGTAATAAGGGGCCTAAAAAGGGGTTTAAAATAAGCATTTTTTAGTTTCTAGACAATAACTTGTGTTCAAGTGTATGGATCTCTCTAAAATTGTATTACAAGGTACCATACCACAAAGGCAAGGCTGTTATTGAGCTTGGTTTGGGGGGAAAGGGGGGTGGGGGTGATGAATCATAAGGGGGCGGGGGTCAAAAAAGGGGTAATTTTTTTTTTCCTTTTTTTTTTGTTTAAAATTTACATTTTAAGTTAGTTATTTTTTATCACGAAGAGAAAGTAGGAATTGAGTTTTGGGGTTAATTGCTCAAACATTTATGAATAAGGGGCCAAATATTGGTAGAAAATAAGGATTTTTTTAGTTTGCAACAAAAACTTGTGTTCAAGTGTATGGATCTCTGTGAAATTGTATTGCAATGTACCATACCACAAATTGAAGGTTGTGATTGAGGTGGGGGATGATGAATCAAAAGGGGGTTGAAAAAATGTGTGGGGGGTAGGATTTTTTTTTTCCTTTTTTTTTCTTTAAAATTTTCCATTTAAAGATGGTTGTTTCAGATTTATATATGAAAGAAAATAATAATGATACGGTTATATATCATGAGGAATTGAAATTTAAAATTATGTATATTGGAAATTTAGGTTACATTGGAAAGTAATAATTGGCTTTGGGGGGTGGTTATGGCTCTAATGTTTAAGGAATAAGGGGAAAAAAGGTTAAAAAACAAGGGTTTCCATTTTAATAGACAAATAATTGAGTAAAGAACATTATTTAAAAGCAGTGTAAGGTTGGTAATTCAAACTCATAAATAAATATCTCATCTACACTGCTTTTAAATTATGTAAATTGGAAATTTGCCAATAACTTTATTGTTAATAAATGCATTGGAAATTTGCCAACAATTTTAGTGTAATAAACTTCATTGGAAATTTGCCAATATAAAATTTTGCTGATGAAGGTTTTTTGTTTACCTTTAGCCTTGACTATGAAGTCATTTTCTATTTTTATAGCCTTTATGATGTAGTTGAATTATTTAATACTTTTATGATGTGTTTAAATGGGGTTTTATCATGTTTATGGTTGCAAATTTATTGTTTTAGTATAATAAACTCCATTTAAAATTTGCCAATAAAAAAATTTTTGTTTATTTTTAGCTATGATTATGATGTCATTTTCTATTTTACTTTTATGGTTGCAAAGAAATTTTTATTTTTAGATATTACTGTTAAATGATGCTGATTAAGGTTTTTGCTATGTTTAGCCATGACTATGATGTCATTTTCTATTTTAATATCTTTATGATGTATTTAAATGGGCTTTTATGGTTACAAAGGAATTTTATTTTTAGATATTACTTTAAATGTTGCTGATTAAGGATTTTTGTTTATTTTTAGCCATGACTATGATGTCACTTTCTATTTTAATACCTTTATGATGTATTTAAATGGGCTCCCATGTATTTAGATTTTTGATTATTTATACATGTTACCAAATTGGTCCACATTGAACAAAAACGGTCCAAATTTCAACTTTATTACATTACATCAAACATTGAATTCTACATATTCTTTGATATATTGAAATTAACAAACAATTTAGTTTATGGATATTCCACCATAATAGGTAAATTAAATTTTTTCCAGTTCTTACACCACATTCATCCTGTGTCAGAAACCTATGCTGTGTCAAATATTTAATGACAATCCAAAGTCATAGCTGTATCAAGCTTGAATTTTGTGTCCATACTTGCCCCAACTGTTCAGGGTTCGACCTCTGCGGTCGTATCAAGCTGCGCCCCAGCGAAGCATTTTATTGTTAAATGTTAACCAAAAAAAAATCCATTTATCAGTTAAATATAGAAAAATGGAAATTAATATTTTTCCAAATTTAACTCTTAATACTGTATTTTGAATATAACTAAGCTAAGTCAACATTTCCCAAAATTCCATTAAGGTTAGACAAAGTAATTGATGACCGAAAAACTTAAACCTCAGAATGTATCTACCTGTTAACTGTAAAAATAAACTTCAAAAATAAAAGTCCCTAATCAAATGGCAAAATCAAAAGCTCGCGACTATAGTATCATTCAATATATGAGCTGCGCCAGATAGAAATCGAACTTATGCAAGTACATGTATACATGAACAAACCCCAAAAATGTGACTCGCAAATGTGTTACTTCATTTGCGTAAGGTCGATTTCTACCCGACGCAGCTCAATTATTATTATATATATATTTTTATAGAGCCTAGGTGGTCGAGTGGTCTAGCGCGTCGGGTAAAGTGCAAGGCGATTTGGTGCCGCGATATCTCAGTAGCATGAGTTTGAATCCCGGCGTGGGAAGAACAAAAAATTTGTGAAAGCAAATTTACAGATCTAACATTGTTGGGCTGATGTTAAGACGAATTATACATACAGAATGTATTGTCAGCCTTGTATCACCATCACTGCTGGTGATCCGATGGATAAAATCTATATATATATTTTTAGAGAGCCTAGGTGGTCGAGTGGTCTAGCGCGTTCAGTGTAGTGCAAGGTGATTTGGTGCCACGATATCTCAGTAGCATGAGTTCGAATCCCAGCGAGGGAAGAGCAAAACATTTGCGAAAGCAAATTTACAGATCTAACATTGATGGGCTGATGTTTTGACGAATTATATATTCATCTAGCGTGGTAATACAGTACCTGATATATAAGGCATGAAGATGGAATTTTGACATATCAGCTGAATTAGCTATCTTACAGGATCTTACAAATGAATGAAGAATGCAGTCACATAAATAATTTAATTATAAGTACGTCTGAACCAGTGACAACTCTTGGGACAGATTTTATCCATCGGATCACCAGCAGTGATGGTGATACAAGGCTGAAAATACATTCTATATATATAATTCGTCTAAATAACAGGCCAACAATGTTAGATCTGTAAATTTATAAATATTAAATGACTGAATAATAGCAAAAGATAAATCTTATGGGGCGATGGATCATATAATTATGATACAGTACACAAAATATAATATTCAACAAGTCTAAAAGGGTACAACATCACCAAAAAATAATAAAATGAACAAATGTTAAATGTCTCGGATAACCGATATCCTTCATCAGTATGAATATTATGTAAAAAGTAAAATCACAAAAAATACTGAACTCCGAGGAAAATTCAAAAAGGAAAGTCCCTAATCAATGTAAATGAATCATATCAATCTATTCTGATTGCACTATAACAATCTTGAAATTTATACAATAAAACAGTTAAAACCGAACACAAAGACGCTAGTACATTTCTTAAATTCTGAAAACGTAGGTTATATAGCTTTTTACAACAGAGACAGCAAAGATATGCTTCAGATAAAAATAGTAATGTGCGATATGAAATGGTACAATTCTGAAATTTCAAAGGTGACGACAGC